TTCTCAACCAGAGGTACTACTTCCGGGTTAGCGGAGTTTGTAACCCAAAGTGTTTGTAACCATAGGTACCACTGTACATGTAAAACCCTTTCAGATGCCAATGGGGCTGTTTCTAGTTGCTTTTCCCCAAGGAAATGTGGGTGCTTCTGACCAATCAAGTATTCCTTTGGCACTCCAGATGCATTAGCATTGAATCAGTAGCACCTCCTGTCAAAATGGCTTCCAGATTTCTGTGTACCACTTACAAGACTTTGCCAGCTAGCAAGAATCTCCTGATGCCCACCCTCAGGTTCTCCCTTGCGGCCCAGTAGTTTCTACACAAGGATTCTTTTTGATGTGGGGGATAAACCTCATGACTTGCTCTATTTAAAGCTGTAATTCAATAAGGCCATCTTAGCCCTTCCCACAACCTCTGGCTGGGAGTCTTGGGGGGGGGGGGAGGAAGACGAGGCAGGAGCTGTACCATCTCTCTAGGTTTGCCTGCCCCCAAAGCTAAGTCTCGATGCATCAACATATCAAATTTAACACACACACAAATCAGTTCTGGGATGGAGCTTCTTCTGGGAATAGGATTGTGCAGCAAGTTAACACTTGCAAGAAAGAGAGAGGGAGAGAGAGAGAAAGAGAAACTGCACTGTTCTGCTTTATCACCCAAGTATTGTTGCATTACAGCAGGCTTCCTCAAACTTGACCCTCCAGCTGTTTTTGGCCTAACATGATCCCTAGCTAGCAGGAACAGTGGTCAGGGATGATGGGAAATGTAGTCCCAAAACATCTGGAGGGCTGAGTTTGAGGAAGCCTGCAGTACAGGATCATACTACCCATTATACAACAGCAAATCCACCACAAAAGCTCACTCAAAACATTAAGTGTTTACAAACACATTTGTATTCAGATTTATGAATGTCTGAATGAGACATTAAGGGGCACACCTAAAACCATTACATGTGTGAAGTCACACAGACACCAGGTGGGATTTTTTTTGTGAGCGGAAGAAGAGATGGCTGGGAGATCACCTGCTCTTGATGGGGTTACACTTCCTCTGAAGGAGCAGGTATGTAGCTTGGGGTACTCCTGGATCCTCTGCTGTCACTTGAGGCTCAGGTGGCCTCGGTGGCCCAGAGTGCCTTCAGCTCATGGCCCAGCTCTGGACAGGGATAGCCTAACTTCTACTGTCTATGCTCTGGTAACCTCTAGGTTGGATTACTGCAATGTATTTGACATAGGGCTGCCTCTGAAGACAGTTAAGAAGCTTCTGCTGGTGCAGAATTTAGCGGCCAGGTTGCTCACTGGGACAAGATGGTTTGAGAGTATTACACCGATCCTGGTCTGACTGCACTGGCTGCCAATTAGTTTCCAGGCCCAATTCGAAGTTCTGGTTTTGACCTATAAAGCCTTAAGTGGCTCAGGACCGCAATACCTCAAGGATCACCTCTTCCCATATAAAACATCCCTGACTCTGCAATCATCATCTAAGGCCTTTCTCTATATGCCTCTTCCACGAGACATCCGGAGGCTGCAGTGGCTCATTTGTGGAATGCTCTCCCCAGGGAGGTTCACCTGGTGCCTTCATTATATATTTTTAGGTGAAAACATTTCTCTTCAACCAGGCCTGGCTGATGAATATTCCACGGCCTTTTAAATGTGTCTTTGGGAAGGGGGGGGGTATTGTTTTGCTTTTTTGTTTTAATTGTTTACTTGTTTTTATCCTGTATTTTATTCTGCGAACCGCCCTGAGATCTTATGATGAAGGTTGGTATATAGATCTAATAAATAATAAAATAATAAGAAGGTGAAATGTGCTACTACATTCACATGAAGTGTCAGATTGGATCACTCCCCAAACAAATAATATTGCAATAAGCAAAATCATTCACTTTCTTTAATGGTCTACAGCCAATGAATTTCAAGCCCTACACATTTGCTTCATTTGCAAATGTATTGGTTTATTTTTGTTTTTATTATGTATTTTGTGTTTTTATATGTTTCTTTTATGTTGTGAATTGCCCTGAGATCTACAGATGAAGGGCGATATTCAAATTTAATAAAATAAATAAAAATAAATCTGGCAGGAAAAGAGATAGGCAAGCAATTAGCATTACAGGACACAATAGCTTTGTCCCTTAACAAGAGGACACTCCCCCTGTTTAAAAAAAAACAAAACCCAAAAAAATTTGGGTCCCAAAACCAAGAGATTTTGTCTGTCTACCCAAATTAAATCTTGAGATTTTCAGTACTCTTTTCCAGGACAGATATCATGCAACACTGCACTGAAGCAAAACTGTAGAGCATAAAAATAAGCCAAATCATATTTTCCAGAAACATGTCAATGACGGTCAAAACATTAAGAGGCAAAATGCTTCACTAACACCCCCACCACCATGAGAAACGTTGAGAATTCAGAGGGGCCAGTATCAAGTCACAAACAAATTAAGCCATCCCCTACTGCACTTCCATCTCACTGCCCTCTTCAAAGAGCTCTCATAGGGTTGAGAGCATATCTCAGACCACACATGCCTCTAATTACCTGGTGAACTGGGGAAGCTGCCGGTAGTTATCAGGTATATCCAGAGGCTTGTACATAAAGTGCCGGAGGTCTGGCACACCCACCAGCCCCACACTATAGGAAGGGCTTCTCAGGCCGCTTGAGAGTGCCTGCAGGTAGTTCTGAGTCCTCATGCCCTCCTCAATGCGTTTCTTGCAGTCCGAGACAGAATAGAAAGACTCCTTGTCCGTGGAGAGAAGAATGAGGCAGACGGTACATTCTGCATCCAAGTAGGAAATATAAGCATAAAAGTAACAATCCGGGTTGAAGCGTGGCAAGCAAATAGGCGTCCAAATCTCCCCTGTTTGGAATGCAGAGGTTGCCCCAATGAGGTTGAGCAATAGATGCAAGTCAGTGGGTTCTAAACGGCAGTCTTCAATCACTGTTTTCTCCTGCACTGTGGTGACCAGCTGACTCCGGGCCACCAGAATGGAGAAGACCAGATTGGGCGTGATGGCCTTCTGGAGCAAAGTGCCCAGGGAATCCCGCAGGGAGGCTTGGAGCGGCAGGCAGCGCACAGCACCAAGCAGGAAGCAAGGGTCCGACTCCACCAGGTTCAGCAGGCGGTTGAGGATCTTCTCTGAGCCGGTCAGCAGGCGCCGGAGGTCATAGTTCTTTTTCCTCTCAAATATGCGGGTGATGCTGGCCTCTGTGAGCATGCTGATAATCTGATAGTAGACATACAAAAGCTCCTGCCGCAACTGCTGCTCTGACTGTAAGGTGCGCGACACGGACACCAGCACCAGCGGGCCCTGCTGCACAAAAACCAGTTTGTGATCATCTGTGGTGGAAAGGAGAGAGCTAGTCAGAAGGTGCAGCAGACTGAGCTCTGCACAAATAGGACAGAACCAGATGTCAATCAACCCTAGGGGGAAAGCAAGACTGAGTAAAGTGTGCAATTCCATGGAAATGCAAAAAGCCCATATAATGCAGTATTGGGTATAAAATTAGCATCCCTAGAGCATACCTTTTTCAGATACACATTTCTTGCCCTTATGGTTGCAAAGATATACTTGAAAGCGTTCTAGACAACATCAGCTGAATCTCAGCAGCGTGGCTGAACAAGATCCCCAGCGGCCAGAGGCAGGATTTTAATGCCTTGTGCAGCTCCTTGTCTGTCTCCCAACCCCATGATGAGCAGAAGGAAAACACATGCAAATAGTCAAAGGGGTAGAATCCACTATGCCAAACAAGAAATAACTGTATTTGGGTAATTTACGTAATTTATACAGGTTGAGGAATTAAGTTTTTCCTGACAACAGAACTGAAGTAGATCTATTTAAGTCCAGGATACACAGTGTTCTGACTAATTAGAACCTTATTTTTATATTGCTTTATTTTTAAAAAAGTCAACTTTATATAGTCACTATTTTTTTATTCATCATTTTTAACTGAATGAGATTTCTTCCCCTAAGGGATCACAGAGTGAGTTTGTTGGGCAGGATAGGCTATTAAATCTAAACATGCATATGCCATATATTATGATGGAGCACAAAAGACAGGGGTACACCATCTCCCTCCCCACTCCTCCAGCTGATGATCACTCCAAACAACTCTTTTAAAAAGGCAGCCAGGCACATAAACAGGCCCTTTCAAGTTTTATTATTATTATTATTAAAGATTTTCTTGTTTTACAGAAGTATGTGTAATGTCTCTCGTATTTTTTCCATGTAACATTTTTACAAATTCATTTCATATGCTGAGACATTAGGAGGAGGGGGGGAAAGGGGTGGGGGGGGAGATGGGTTGGGGTGGGGTCGGGTGGCGATGTTTCTATTATGCTTAATGTATGTAGGGTTTGGTGTCAGCATTGCTTGTGCTGTTCACTTGTGTTCCTTTGGTGGTGAGAGGTTGGGGTTGGCCTAGGGTGTGGTTGTTTGTTTGTGATTGGCTGTGGTGATCTTTGTTTTCGTGTGTGAGTGGGGTGGGTGGGTGTTTTGGATCAGGTTAGCCATATTGATTTGTATGCTGTTGGTGGATTATTGTCATTGTCTTGTTGGGCTGTGTATGTGATAAAGGGGAGCCATACCGGGGAAAAGGCATCTTCTTCTATTTGTCCCCGTGTCAGTTTCAGTTTATTGGTTAATTTTTCTAGTAGGGCAGGCCCTTTCAAGCTGTAGCCCTAGATGTTCCACTAGGTCCTGTGTTATAGTGCAAAGCTATACATGCCTTCTACTCATAAGGAAGTCCCACTGAGGGCTCACTTCAGTGCTGAGTGAGCTTACGGTAGCAACCTTTGATGCAAATACATGAAACGTTGCATGCCAGAGCAGGACACATTCTGCACTTTAAAAAAAAAAAAAGGAGTATTACTACTACTGATCATAATAAAAATATGCACTAAGAAGAGATAAATTCAGCTGCCTGGACTAGCTATGCATATTAAGTACCTTTGGATTGTTTCCCCTATTTTGCAGAATTCATTCTGCAATTTTTACTATTTTGCTTCTGCTAGGCATGAAGAACAGCATGGAGCAAAACAGAGAAGCAAGGTCCAGTCTCTGACCCCTGGGCTCCCCAGACATCACCAGACACTGCCTACATGTTTCCAAGCATCTCTACAACCACAAAGGTGAGAAAAAGAATGAAAGGAAATTCTTAGGAAGCTGGATTTTGAAGCCAGAACATTTGTGCTTCTCTGTGCTTGCATGAAATCACAACTACATAGCTATGCAGTCCACATGACAGCTTTCTTCATATAAAAGAAAATTACCATGATAAAAACCCCAACTCCCTCTATTGCCCAATAACTGAAATTCTTTTACACAGCCTTTACTGCTAACTATCAGTGGAAACACAAGAGACTCCAAGATCGTTAGGCATCAGTCATGGTTCTGAGAGCCAGTCCAGTTTGAAAGAAACCAATAATTTTAAGCTGTAATTTTAAACTGTAGCTATAGGGATATGGCTTAAATCTGGCTACAACCATGCCCAATAACTCCTATACCAGAGCTTGAATTATGGGGGTAAAAGTAGAGGATCCTTAACAAAATCTACAGGCCCCAACTTCCAGTCACGAGTGAGTCCCAAAGCCTCATAAAAACAAGTTGTTAATTGTAATTAAAACAATGCCCCACTGCCAATCTTTTGCCATACCAGAATAAATGGAACGGATGGAATTATCCCCACTCTGGATGAATGATACAAGTGCCATCATAACACCCATGGTGGAGCTGAGGGCTTCTTCGTTGCCATAGCGCGAGTAAATGGGTTTGCCAGCTTCACTTAAAACAAAGACATGTTTCCTGTGTGCCCGCCAACTGTCAGCTGTCACATCCTCATCCCGGTGTGTAGCCGGGCACAGCTGTGCCACTTCCTCCTCCCCAGGTGGCCCATCGCCCATCACCATAGGTCGGTTAAACTCGCTGGAGTCCTCCAAAGTGTTATCAGTTGAGGCTGAGTCAGACAGGTCCTTTTCACTTGATTCCTCCTGCATATCTGCTTTGGCATCTGCCTCAATTATGGGTCCATTGACTGGGACATCAGGTAGCTCCCCTTGCTCATCCAATGCAGAACAGGGCTCATCCTCACCTGGAAAAAGTCACAGCACAAGTAAAGGATTTCAGGAGTCCTAGCTTATCCTCACCTCCCTACTTGCACCAGCCTTTACCCTACTGAAAAGGCAGCTCAACTACTAAAAGTTGCAACACTTCATGGCCAACTTTGCAGCAAGCTTCAGCATGTCTTTCAGCCACCCCAAAATCCCTTACTTTCAGATGATGAAGTCTCCCTCATCTCCCTTTATGCCCATCATTGGTTCCTAGCAGGGCTTCTTTTCAGCTGGAGCTCGCTGGAACTCTGTTCTGGCACCTCTCAGGTGGGTGCCATTAGAAAAATAGTACTGGTTCCTAGAAGAGGAACCTAGCACTTCAATGCTTTTTCTCCCCAACCAAACTTCACCACCACTTTAGCTGAGAGGGTATTGGTTCCCACACATATCTTGCTATCTGTAATCTCAGCAAAGAAAAGGGAGAGGCCTATGGTAAGCTCCTCTCTTTTTCTGTTTATGTCACGATATAAAACACTACAGGCTTTGCCAGCTTGATCTGGTTAGCAGCCACATCATCTAAAAGGTCCACTGTTAATGAACAAAATTCAGCCTCAGGTAGAATAACTGAACCACAACGGCAGAGACTTAAACCACTCACCTGTCTCTGCAGAGCTGAGCCCAGCCTTATGTTCAGGGAGATCCATCCCACCCTTAGAAGGCAAGCCAGGGTCTTCCCTCTACATCTCAAACAGCTCCTGAGAAGTCAAGAGGCAAATGTGAGAAGAGTTCCCCAGTGTTACAAAAACTAAAAAAACAAACCAACCAGGATGCAGGTGCTCTGTCGCTTACTCACCAGGCCCAACCCCATTCTCAAATTAGGGCAGAACTTAGAACACTGCCTTCACAGTTCCATTCACACCCTAACTCCATCCTCCACTTCCTAAAAGAAGCAGCAAAAAGAACCTCAACCTTCAGTTTAGAAAGTATGAATGAATGCACATCGGAGAAAAGGGCTTTCCAAGGGAAACAAGAAGAAGAAGAAGAGTTTGGATTTGATATCCCGCTTTATCACTACCCGAAGGAGTCTCAAAGTGGCTAACATTCTCCTTTCCCTTCCTCCCCCACAACAAACACTCTGTGAGGTGAGTGGGGCTGAGAGACTTCAGAGAAGTGTGACTGGCCCAAGGTCACCCAGCATCTGCATGTGGAGGAACGGAGACGCGAACCCAGTTCACCAGATTACGGGAATACCGCTCTTAACCACTACACCACACTGGCTCTCAAAATGCAAAAGTCAAGATGCAAAAGTCAATCTGTCAGCCTTGCCTGCCCTCCCTGCTCTAATCTCAGTCACATGCCTGGGCAGGAATGCCTCAGAGGAGACAGCAGGAAATGCCCTGGTTACTAATCACCACACACACAGAGAGAGAAACAGAATTACTAGCGCTTAACTCCTGGATGGGATTTTAAGCAACTCCCATCAGCCCCAGCCAGCACAGCCAATGGTCAGGGATGATGGGAATTGTAGTATAACAACGTCTGTGGAGCCAGGTTGAGAAAGGCTGACTTCGATCACTGGTCTTCAACTGTTGGAGCAGGATCCAAAGTGACACTAGTAATACCGCCCTACTTCAAAATAAAACAAGAGAAAGAGAAACAGGCAGTGGACTGAGTAAAGGTAAAGGTACCCCTGCCCGTACGGGCCAGTCTTGACAGACTCTAGGGTTGTGTGCCCATCTCACTCAAGAGGCCGGGGGCCAGCGCTGTCCGGAGACACTTCCGGGTCACGTGGCCAGCGTGACATCGCTGCTCTGGCGAGCCAGAGCCGCACACGGAAACGCCGTTTACCTTCCCACTAGTAAGCGGTCCCTATTTATCTACTTGCACCCGGGGGTGCTTTCGAACTGCTAGGTTGGCAGGCGCTGGGACCGAGCAACGGGAGCGCACCCTGCCGCGGGGATTCGAACCGCCGACCTTTTGATCGGCAAGCCCTAGGTGCTGAGGCTTTTACCCACAGCGCCACCCGCGTCCCAGTGGACTGAGTAGGTAAAGGTAAAGGGACCCCTGACCGTTAGTCCAATCGCAGACGACTCTGGGGTTGCGGTGCTCATCTCGCTTTACTGGCCGAGGAAGCCGGCGTACAGCTTCTGGGTCATGTGGCCAGCATGACTAAGCCGCTTCTGGCGAAACCAGAGCAGCACATGGAAACACAGTTTACCATCCCACCAGAATGGTACCTATTTATCTACTTGCACTTCACAGCTGGCCTAGATGTTTCACAGGTGGCTGCATTCCACAACTGCAATAATAATCTCTGAGGGATTAAACTCTATGCAGTGATTCTGAACTTCCTCAGCCTTGAAGAAATGCCTTGGTTAGTTGGGGCTACCAACTATATTCACGATCCATTTCCCTCCTGTATTGGAATTCTTGCATTGGAATGTTCTTCCAGCCTTTAAGCCTTTATGTCCAGAAGAACTGAGCATCTGCCCAGAATGGTGCTACCATGATGTTCCCAGCAGCTTCTTATTCTTGGCAGCTCCAAGACTACTGGAAACCGTCTGGATACAGAAACAGCACTGCCACCATTGTCATATACAGTGGTACCTCGCAAGACGAATCCCTCGCAAGACAAAAAACCCGCAAGACGAAAGGGTTTTTTGTTTTTTGAGCTGCTTCGCAAGACGATTTTCCCTATGGGCTTGCTTCGCAAGACGGAAACGTCTTGCAAGTTTGTTTCCTTTTTCTTAACACCGTTAATATAGTTGCGACTTGACTTCGAGGAGCAACTCATAGCACGCGGTGTGGTAGCCTTTTTTGAGGTTTTTGAAGACTTTGGTGATTTTTGAAGCTTTTCCGAAACTTTTCCGACACCGTGCTTCGCAAGACGAAAAAAATCGCAAGACGACAAAACTCGCGGAACGAATGAATTTCGTCTTGCGAGGCACCACTGTATAGGTTCATCCTCACTCTCAAAGAATGGGCATGGCAAGTTTAAAAAAGTTATTTGCAAAACCACACATTCACAATAAGATTAATGTGAATATACTACTGTACCACTAGTACTGTCAATCGTATAAGGAACAAAAAATGAACAGGCACCAAATCATGATCAGTGATTGTTAAAAGTATTGCAGTAGATTTCCACAGCCCTAACTGGTAAGAAAAGAGTGTGGTTAATTGTGTTAGGTCATCCTTGGCACCAGTTCCTGCAATGGTAGGCTCAGAACAATAAACACTTTCCAAAAAAGTAATTACTTCTACAGCCAAGCAGAACCAGGTTCTGCCATTTCAGCAACCTAGTTCAAAATTAAGTGTCAAAAGCAGCACCCAACATGTACTGTACCCCTTTACAGAACCTGGCGCCACATCAGAATGTTCAAGTGCCCAAGCAACTCAAACTGAGCAAACAGCCTCTTGCTGCTTTATGGCCCAGTCAGAGATGCCTCTGAAGGCCAGTTTACAGTGTAGTGGGAAAACATGTCTTTTTTTTTGGGGGGGGGGGATAGGTCTATCAAGACATATGGGACCACACACATATCTATAAGAGGAATAGCTAAACCATGTTAGTTTCCGTAACATGTCAAAAGCAAACCCTTATATCACCTTCCTAAAAGTCATAGCAGGACTCCAAAAAGAAAAATCTGTTCCAGCCATTACTAGTCATAAAATCTCTTTATCTTTCTAGAGAGCTACATGTATGCACATCAGCCCTGAACATTAGTCAACCAGCAAACAATTCCAGAAAGTTCACAAAGATCCATGCAACCCAGCCCCAAAACAACACAGCAACTCACTCAGTTGCAGTCTCAGAAAGCTATGCAGCACACTAAGTACATATTGGAGAAAGTGGAAAGGATCCCTTCAGGAGGCTGGAGAGTGGAGACAATTCAACTCTGCCTTCTCAATACAATAATAGATCCCCACCTCTGCTGAGAATTTCCCTCTTAAGTCATAGTAATTTAAATAAGCCAATTGGCAGAAAGTTTTGGGGCTACCAAAATGAAGTGTTTCTTCACACACTGCATAATTCCATAACTGTTGCCATCCCTGAAATATCTTTAACTGACAGCTGCCAAATCCAGCCCTCCATAT